TACCGTCAAATCAGATCTGACTGGTACAGGAGGCCATTGTTCCTCCTTCAGCAGAGCATCTGGTGGATTTGAACTGTGCACCTCTGGGATTGCAGTGCAGTTTCCTGCCACTAGGCCACCAGAGCTCGCCAGCAATTTTGTTTTTAAAGGCACCTCGTGACTTTCACACTGGGCTTGCATACATTAAGGATGATTCTGAGCTGCTGTCATAGATTTACAACCCTGGGAACCGTGGAGAGCAGTTTTGTTCTCTATCGTTACTGCGCATCAGAATTGACTTCATAATAATTTTGAATAGTGGTTTATTAGAATTCTCAGAAACCGTTGTGAGATGAAGAATTCTTGTCCCTGGAGTACATGATGGTGATAAAAATTATCTAACCCACTTATAATAAACTCCCTGGGAGAAAAATGGGCAGGTTCCTCCTCTGTTAGATTCAGACAAATTGTGGGGGAGGTCAGGTCTGAATGGTTTCACATAGCAGTACATAGCAATTTAGTTCAATATACAGGGTGGGTATGTCACTTCCCGTAAAGTAGAGAATAAGAAATCCAACCATATAATCTAACTATTTCCTCATTTTATATTCAGACGTGAAACGGAGTCACACACAGTGAGACTAGACTATTTTGTTGTTTGTTTCAGTATCCATAAACACTTTATTTCTGAACTTTGAGCACAGCGGGTCAGCCTCAAAGACTGCCTATGAGCAAAGACTAGTTTTAAAGGGGAAGGCTATATTACTTTTTTTAAAAAATATTTTTTAAAAATTTTATTATTTGTGTGTGTGTGTGTACCGTCAAATCAGATCTGACTGGTACAGGAGGAGATGGCCCCTCCTTCTCCAGCAGAGCATCTGGTGGATTTGAACCGTACGCCTCTGGGATTGTAGTTGCAGCTCCTTGCCACTAGGCCACCAGAGCTCCCCTCATATTACTTTTTTTAAAAATTAAGTATTATACATTCAAGTGATGGAAGTAAAAACAAATTTCATAAAAATGGGAACAGGAATTTACTAGAAATTGCACATTTGAAGGAAGAAATCAGTTTAGAGAAACAGACAAACTCCGTGTTTACAATGATTCTGCAATTTGAAATTTCAGTAGGGCATCAGGAAACTTTCACATTTAGAGCTTTACATTCTTTTAAAAAAATTTTTTTTATAATTAATTTTATTTAAAGTCTACAGAGACGTAGTATTTCCAGTCATTCATTGTTGTACCTTCTCCCTGCCCACTCCCACCCCCAATCCACTCTTCTTCTTGAAAAGTAAAAGAAAACCTCTTTCATTGTTATGCAATCCATCCCTCCAAGTCCACTCCACTTTGCAGCCTTCGTTCTGGACTCCTGTCATGACAATACCATATCATATATCCCTTATAAACAGTTCTCTCCCTCACCTGTTTCAATGCAGTATACATTATTCCTCCCCTGATTTTCTGTCTTTCCTCAACCCTTTTGTCAGTCCCGTTTTACAGGTGTGGCCCTATGCAATATTTGTCCTTTTTTGACTGAGATATTTCACTCAGCATAATGTTCTCCAGGGTCACCTATTTACAATAGTATTTATGAAGTACTTATTTTTAAGTGCAGCATAGTATTCCTTTGTGTGTAGTGTAGTATTTCATTGTGTGAATATACCACATCTTCTCTATCCATTTTTTTGTTGATTGGCACATGGCTTGTTTGTAGCTCGTTGCTGTTGTGAACAAAGCCATAATAAACATGGGTGTGCATGTATCTGCTTTGGTGTCAGTTCTGGTCTCTTCGGTATATATTTCCAGTAGTGGAATTGCTGGGTCAAATGGTATTTCTACTTGCAATTTTTTCAGGAAGCGCCATGCTGCCTTCCATAGTGGTTGCACCATTTTACACTCCCACCAATGGTGAATAAGGGTTCCAGTTTTTCCACAGACTCGCCAGCAATTGTTGTTTGCAGAGATTTACATTCTTTTGAAAACTTTGACTTGTTTTGTGAGTGTAACATTGTCTGCTTTCCTTCGAACAGGATATCAGCTTCTGAAACCTGATGCACTCCCCAGGTTGGAAGCAGGTGAACAACCACAGATTGACGTCCCTGAAAATCAGAGTGAAAGCTTTTCAGGTGAGAGAGTGAATAGCAGTGAGAGGAGGAGGCTCTGTACTCAACAACATATCACATCTGTCAGGGTTTCTAAGGATAAAGCTAAATACCTCTATATATCCATTCTCCGTTGGAGACCTTTTTCTTTCTCGACTATAAGTACATACTGTTGGTAATGCGGGCTTATCTACTGTTTTATCTACTGTCTATTGTAAATGCATCTGTCCTAAACCAGTGAAGATTGAGACACCATACAGCCTTGGATGTGTCTGTGTCATAAAATGACCTGTGTTGTACATTTTCTGCAGGGAGCACTGGTGGCCTAGTGGGTAAGGAGTTGTGCTCAAAATGCAAAGGCCAGCAGTTCAAACACAGCTGCTGTTCACAGACAAAGAGGGACAGTCTCCTCCCATGGGACTCACCTCATGTAAAATCCCACTATGGGGTCAGCTGTGAGTCAGTTCCAACGCTATGGCAGTGAGTCCTGTGTTAGAACCCATCAAATCTGTGTGCGTGAGCCGTACAGCATCTAATGTTATTCCTCCTCAGCTAAGCTCACGGCCATCGGCTCTCTTCCAGTAGGTTTCTGAGGCTGTAAATCATGGGCTGTAAATGCCTGTCTCCCTGGGAGCAGCTGGGACCTTCAGAGGCCTATTTTTGGATTAACCAAGCAACTCTCTACAGCTCTGTTTCTTCATCCTCCAGTCATTTCTTTGTTTGTTTTGTTGTTTTTATGAGTATGAATGTAACAGTAAGTGTGATGTTTTATTTACACGCATGTCCAAATGTTGTTGGTTTTTTTGTGTGCCCTGGATTGCAGTGGGAGTCATGCCTGGCCCTCGGTGGGTTTTCAGGGTTAGTTAAATTCATAGGAGGAAACGCCCCTTCCTTAATCTCCTAGAACAGCCGGCGGATTGAAACGAGTGCTTTTCAGATTGCAGCCCAGCTTCTTACTACGTGGCCATGAAATGTATTCATTGAAATTCCTAATTATGTATCTGTCACTTCTTCATTCTTTTACTAGATTCACTTCAAATCAGGTGTTGGACATTCATTATTCTCTTCTTTCCTAGAAGTCCCGAATGTTGATGATCACCTGCTTGGGCTCCTGTCTAATGAAAGAGTACTACTCAGACCGGAACACAGTAGTAACCTGGATTCATTGGAAAATACTTCTCACCAGCACAGAACTCATTTTCATGTCATGGAAAACCATGGTTTACCTGTCGTCCACCAGAGACCTAGCGATCAAGTAGAGCACTCTGCTGAGCTCAGTAGACAGAACACCTTGCTCCCCAGTGGCTGTGACCAACTTTGGACTGAAAAGATTTTCCTGAAAAGTCAGAAATCAAATGGCTCTAAGGTACAACTTCCCAGAAATCAGACAACTCACAAAATAGAGAAACCCCATGTATGTAGTGACTGTGGCAAAGGCTTCCCCAGGAAATCAGCTCTCACTGTCCATCAGCGAATTCACACAGGGGAGAGACCCTACGTGTGCAAGGAGTGTGGCAAAGGGTTCGGTAGAAAGGATTGCCTCCGTAACCATCAGCTAACTCATACTGGAGAGAAACCATACGTGTGCCAATACTGTGGAAAAGGGTTCAGCAGGAAGCAGGAACTCCCTATCCATCTACGAAAACACACTGGGGAGAGACCCTATGTGTGCGGGGAGTGTGGGAAAGGGTTCGTCATAAAGAGTTACCTGGCTGTCCATCAGCGAATCCATACCGGGGAAAGGCCCTATGTGTGCAAGGTATGTGGAAAAGGGTTCCACACGAAGAAGGAACTCCCTATCCATCTACGAAAACACACTGGGGAGAGACCCTACGTGTGTGGGGAGTGTGGGAAAGGCTTCATCACGAAGGGTCAGCTCATTTCCCATCAGCAAAGTCATACTCGGAAGAGACCCTATATTTGCCAGGAGTGTGGAAAAACCTTCATCAGTAAGACTAACCTCACTGTGCATCAGCGAACTCATACTGGAGAGAAACCCTATGTGTGCAAGGAGTGTGGGAAAGGCTTCATCACGAAGGGTCACCTCATTTACCATCAGCGAAGTCATACTGAGGAGAGACCCTATATTTGCCAGGAGTGTGGAAAAAGGTTCCTCACAGATGGAAACCTCACAGTCCATCAGCAAATCCACAACAGGGAGACGTCCTATGCCTGCAGTGAGTGTGGGAAAGGCTTCATCAGAAAGAGGTACCTCGCTTTCCATCAGCAACTCCATACTGGGGAAAAGCCCTATGTGTGCAACGTGTGTGGAAAAGGGTTCAACACAAAGCGGGAACTCTCTACCCATCAACGAAAACACACTGGGGAGAGACCCTACGTGTGCGGGGAGTGTGGGAAAGGGTTTGCCTTAAAGAGTTACGTTGCTGTCCATCAGCGAATCCATACTGGGGAAAAGCCCTATGTGTGCAACGTGTGTGGAAAAGGGTTCAACACGAAGGCAGAACTCCCTATCCATCAACGAAAACACACTGGGGAGAGACCCTACGTGTGCGGGGAGTGTGGGAAAGGCTTCACCATGATGTCTACCCTCACTCGCCATCAGCTCTCTCATACTGGAGAGAAAGTCTATGTCTGCAAGGAGTGTGGAAAAAGGTTCCTCAGAGAAGATCACCTCACTGCCCACCAACGAATCCATACAGGGGGAAGCCCTTATAAGTGCATGAAGTGTGGAAGAGGGTTCTTCATAAAGAGTTACTTCACTCTCCACCAGGAAATGCACAACTGGGAGGCACCCTATGTGTGCAGGGAGTGTGGGAAAGAGTTCACCTCGAAGGGGAACCTTTGTGTCCATCAGCGAACTCACACTGGGGAGAGACCCTATAGGTGTCAGGAGTGTGGAAAACACTTCACCAGGAAGTTTAGCTGCATTTCCCATCAGCAAACTCATAGTGGAGAGAAACCCTTTGTCTGCAAGGAGTGTGGAAAAGCCTTCGTCATCAAGCGTTACCTCACCATCCATCAGCAAATCCATAAAAAGTAGAAACCCTGTGTGGGAAGGAGTTCATCTCGAAGGAAAATCTCGCCTCCCACCAGCGATTGCACACTGGAGAGAGACCCTGTGTGTGCAGGGAGTGTGGGAAAGGGTTCATCTCAAAGCGTTATCTCACTATCCATCAGCGAACTAATATTAGAGGGAGACACCGTATGTGTGCACACAATGTGGAAAAGGCTTCACATCTGGAAGCACTGCCTCACCACCCATCAGCAAATCATACTGGAGAGAGACTGTATGTGTTCAAGCAGTGTGGGAAAGGGTTCATTATGAACTCTCAACTCACCGAGCATCAGCGAAGGCATACTGGGGAGAGACCCTTCTCGTGCCGGCAGTGTGGAAAAGCCTTCTTTAGGAAATGTCATCTCACTGCCCATCAGCAAATTCATACTAGACAGAGACCCTTATGAATGCCCATAGTGTGGAAAAGGGTTCACCAAGAAGCATTGCATAACTGTCTGTCGGGAAACTCATCCTGGAGAGAGAAACCCTGTGTGTCCGGGGAGTGTGGAGAAGGGGTCATCAGGAAGGGTGAACTCATCAGGCAACTCATCAGTGAGATCCTACGTATGCAAAGAGTGTGGAAAAATGTTCATAACCAAGGGTGAAATCACTTGGGGGAAGGCCTACATGTGCAGTGTGGAAAGCTTTCTTTTTCTCAGGGAATTTATTGAAGATAGATAGATAAGATAGATAGATAGATGGATGCAGTGACTTTGGTACAGACTTCAAGGAAGAACTCACACAGAAAAATAAAAAAAACCTAACCCTGACCAATTCCTTCCCCTGAGAATGATGTGTTAGTTGTCCTCAGTAAAATGACAGCGTTTGAAACTATTCAGTTCTTGCCTTTGTTGTCGCTCAGAGTCTAAATACACACAAAGCATTGACTTGGGGTATTTGGTGTCCTTGCAAAGCAGCTGACCATCTCTTCAGTACTTGTGCAGCCCGGGCTGCCGATATGTGCAGTGGGCCTATGGGATGTTGGAGGTCTGGGTGTCCAGGGTTCATCTTTCAGTACATCTTTCCTAGACAAGGATTAACTTTGTTTTTTTTTCCTTATGTGAGTGTTAGGGTGGGGTGCAGGCTCTCTCCTACCTGAGGACTGTGTAAGCTCACCAGCCCTCAGTGCTAGCCCTTTTGGGGCCTCTCTCACTTTGTTGACACACAACATCCAGCTTCACCCTGACTGACAGTCTCCATGATCATAGATGTTTACTGCCCAGTGTCTGTAGAGCCAGCATATATACCTGCAGTCTGTGTCTCTTGGAGACCTTCTAACAAGCCACTGAATGTGGGGGACACAGGAGCTAGGGAACTGAACAAATGGAGGGCCAGGTGATTTTAGAAATCATGGACTTAGCAGCAGATCAAGTATTAGGGACGGTTAACTTGACACTGGTCTACTTCTAATCAATACGGTTGGTAAGGGAGCTCTCTGGTGGCCTAGAGGCAAGAAGCTGCACTGCCATCATGAACACGTGCCGTTCGAGTCCACCAGATGATCTGCTACGGAAGTGTCCTCCTTTGCCAGTCAGATCTGAGTCAGCAGACAACAAAGCATGGTGTCAGAATAATAGAGTTGAATGCGAAGGTGTAGACTCTGTAAATGTGTCTTTGGAGAGAATGGAGTGTGCAAAAGAAAAAGACTTTGATCTCTGATTGCACTGAGGATAATCATGAATTAATGCAGCTCTTATGTTACAATCACTTACCAAAGGCAGAAATTACTTTGGTACACGCAGTAACACAAGATGATATGAATGAAAATTACAGGTGAGCCCTGGTGGCCTAGTGGCAAAGACCTGCACTGCAATCCTATAGGTGCACACTTCAAATCCATCAGATGCTCTACTGGAGAAGGAGGGACAATCTCCTCCTGTACCAGTGAAATCTGATTTGACAGTACACACACACCAAAAAAAATTTTTTTTTAAAAAACAGGCAAGTAACAATTTGTTGTTGTTATGTGCCGTCAAGTCGCTTGCGACTCATAGCAACCCTATGTGCAACAGCCCTAAACCCTGCTCTGTCCTATACCAATCACACTGTCTCTGACACACCCATCCTGATTACCCCAGTCACTGAATCAATCCACCTCATAGAGGGCCTTCCCCTCCTGCGCTGTCCCTCCACCCTCCCAAGCATGATATCCCGCTCCAGGGACTGGTCCCTCCTCACAACATGTCCAAAGTATGTTAGACAGAGCCCCAGAATCCTTGCCTCCAAGGAGCCACCCGGTTTAACCCTTTCCAGGACAAGTCTGTTTTCCTAGCAGTCCATGGTATTCTCAATACTCTTCTCCAGCACCACAGCTCAAAGGCATCAATTCTTCTATCCTCCCTGCTCATTGTCCATCTCTGATGCATAACGAGTGATTGCGAAGACCATAGCCTGTATCAGACGCACCTTAGTCTCCAGAGAGACACCATTGCTCTTCAGTACTTTGGAGAGGTTCCTAACAGCAGACTTTCCCATGGCAATGTGCCTTTTAATTTCCTGGCTGCTGGTGCCAAGACTGTTGACTATGGAGCCAAGCAAACTAAAGCTGTGTACAATCTCAGTCTCTTCACCATTCATCCTGATGCTGCCAATTGGTCCAGGGGTGAGAATCTTTGTCTTCTTGACATTGAGCCTCAATCCATATTGGAGGCTGCAGTCCTTGACCCTCTGCAGCAGGCGCTTCAGGTCCTCTTCAGTTTCAGCAAGCAGGGTTGTGTCATCCGCATAACGCAGGTTGTTGATAAATCGTCCACCAATCTTGACCCCACATTTCTCCTCATAGAGTAATAATATACATAATAAAATTTTAAAAAGTGAAAATTACAATTGTTTTTTGCTAAAAGTATTTGCTGCATATGCAGATAGACTATAGGAACTAAGATGGGCTGTTGTCACATGTCATTGTGACCCTACGAATAATGTCTCTGAACCTTGCCCTACCCGGAGCCAACATCACTGTCTCCAACCCACCTATCCCCATTTCCTGTGTCAATCCATCTCATCCAGGGTATTCATGTCTTGTGCTCAACCTTCCACCGTTCCAAGCCTCATGTCTTTCTCCCAAGATGGATCCCTTCTGGCACCATGCTCAAAGTATGTGAGACGGAGCTTCAAAATCCTGCTACATATTTACTGGCTAATTCTTACTGGAATAAACTACAAATGTTGTGAATGTGGTAAAGGTTTTATCGAGAAGTCAAAAATTGCTAGACACCAGCAAAGTCATACTAGGAAGAAACCCTATACATGCAGGGAATGTGGGAAAGACTTTATGAGAAAGAATGACCACACTGCATCAGCAAACTGCCATAGGAGAGAAATCCTCTAAATGTGAATTAATCTATAAATCAGGCGTCATTTTCCAGCTGGGAGCTCATAGTGGGGATATATCCTAGGTGTACACTGTGTGGGGGAAACACTCCTTCACAAGGGACACCTCATTATTCAAAGGCGAATATAAATACCACAGAGAAATCCTTATGTACCCACTGTCTAGGAGTGATCTCATACAGGTGAGGCATCATATGTTGTTGTTTGTTATGTGCCGTCGAGTCGTTTGCGACTCATAGTGACCCTATGTACAACAGCCCTAAACCGTGCTCTATCCCATGCCAATCTCATTACCTCTGACACACCCATCCCGATTACCCCAGTCACTGAATCAATCCACCTCATAGAGAGTCTTCCCCTCCTGCGCTGTCCCTCCACCCTACCCAGCATGATGTCCCTCTCCAAAGACCTGTCTCTCCTTACAATATGTCCAAAGTATGTCAGACGGAGCCCCAGAATCCTTGCCTCCAAGGAGCAGCCTGGTTTAATCCTCTCTATGATGAATCTGTTTGTTTTCTTGGCAGTCCATGGTACATTCAGTACTCTTCTCCAGCACCACAGCTCAAAGGCATCAATTCTCCTTCTGTCCTCCCTAGTCATTGTCCAACTCTGATGCATAACAAGTGATTGCAAAAACCATGCCCTGTATCAGGCGCACCTCAGTCTCCAGAGAGACACCGTTGCTCTTGAGTACTTTAGAGAGGTCCCTAACCACAGACTTTCCCATTGCAATACGTTTTTTTATTTCCTGGCTACTGGTGGCAAGAGTGTTGACCGTGGAGCCGAGCAAACTGAAGCTGTGAACACTCAATCTCTTCACCATCCATTATGATGCTACTGATTGGTCCGGTGGTGAGAATTTAGCTACCCGAAATTTATACATACTTTTGCCTCTCACTTTGATTCACATCAAAGAAAACCAAAAATATACAAATGTGTGGATTCTGTCCAGGAGGAAAGCCATTCGTAGGAAGTCTCACCTCAGCATAGCAGTGCTGGCCTGCAGGAGAAAAGCCCTGTTAACACAGCGACTGTGCAGATGTGTGCAGTTGTAGCTCCGACCTCAATAAACAGCGGGCTACTAAGAAACATCCTTGAGAAGCCTCTCCAGGTAACAGAATTATTTGCAGAGCAACCCTGTGAGGGAATTGACCAAGATAGGGCTTTCAGTGTTCATTGTAGAGACTGGACAAGGCTGAAAGCTGCATTCTGTGTCATCAGTTTGTTACCAAGACATCAGATGATGTGAACAGAAACACATGGCCATCTATGATTTTATTATCCCAATAAAATAAATGAAGCTCTTGAATGGAAATCCAAAACCTCTGTAAAAAAAATAAAATAAAATAAAATAAAAAAAGTAAAAAAAAATTTGACCTCACAAAAGATAGTATAAATGGTTCACCTGTTTTATTAAACAATTCAACCATAAAAAAATAAATGAAGCTCTGAGTTACTAATGATCTAAAATAGTATGATTTTACAATTCATATGAATGAAAAGGACTGAAGTTTTAGTCATAGTCAAGAAGTAATACGGATATTTGAACCAGAAAAGATGAATCTTCAGTTGAGAACCAGTGTGATGAGTAAGACCACACGATGCTACCCTGGGAAGCAGCACTATTTCAGACAGGAAGCACTGGCTCCCATAAT